AAATGTAAAACAGATAGCTAGTGGGAAGCAGCCACACAGCACAGGGAGATCAGCTGGTGCTTTGTGACCACCTAGAGTGGTAGGATAGGGAGGGTGGGACGGAGACGCAAGAGGGAGGAGATATGGGGAGATATGTATATGTATAGCTGATTCACTTTGATATAAAGCAGAAAGTAGCACACCACTGTAAAGCAATTATACTCCAATAAAGATGTTTAAAAAAAAAAAAAACCCAAAAACTTCACATGGAAAAGTAAGAGTAATCAGAAAGAATATTCCTACTGGATTCTGTATTATAATAAAAAGATATAACATCTAAAATAGTGTGGTACCAGCACATGAATAAACAGAAAGGTTAAAAAAAGAAAACAGTAAACATCTGCATACATATGGGAATTCAGTATATAATGAAAATGACTTCTAATTAATGTTGAAAAGAATGATTATTCAATAATGGCTGTGACAAACAGGTAACCATTTGAAAAAAATAAAATAAATTCCAGATGAACTGAAAATTTCACCAAGGAAGATGAAATTAGTACTAAAAGAAAACATGGAAGAAAAATGTTTCAATTATAATTGAGTAGGAAAAGTCTAAGTATATTACAACATCAGAAATGATAAAGAGATTTAGAAATTCAACTGCAAAATTTAAAAACAAAAATTTTCTCCCTAGGAAGAAAAAATATATACAAAGTCCAAAAGACAGGCAACAGGTGAGAGAAAAGTAGCCACAAATCATATCTGTATATTTTATATCTACATTCATTTGTTAATCCTGCCATGAAACAAACACAGTTCCTGGACTGGAGAAGGAAGCAACTGTTTACTCACAGAGCATCTTCACACCATTTCTCACACCCCAATTCCCCATGGGTCTAACGTCCCTGTGCGTGCAGAGGGTTTTCCACCTATCACGGGGTAGAACCCCAAAAATATTTATCTCAGAGCTTATATAAGAGTCTTTGGGGACTTCCCTGGTTGCACAGTGGGTAAGAATCCGCCTGTCAATGTAGGGGACACGGGTTCGAGCCCTGGTCCGGGAAGATCGCACATGCCACAGAGCAACTAAGCCCGTGTGCCACAACTACTGAGCCTGCACTCTAGAGCCCACGAGCCACAACTACTGAGCCCATGTGCCACAACTACTGAGCCTGTGCACCTAGAGCTCATGTTCCACAACAAAGAGAAGCCACCGCAGTGAGAAGCCCGTGCACCGCAACGAAGAGTAGCCCCCACTCGCCACAATGAGAGAAAGCCCATGCACAGCAACGAAGACCCAACACAGCCATAAATAAATAAATAAATAAATAAATGTATTTGTTAAAAAAAGAGTTCCTGGCACGTCTGCCCTTCTTCATCTCTGGAGAGAGAGCAAACTTGGCTCTGGGAAGTAAACAAATCCTTCTGGGGAGAGAGGAGGAAGGCCTCTATTTACCAATCTGGAATGTCAACAAATGGCTCTGGGGAAAGATAAGGCTTTCTCTCTAGCACTCTATCTTTAAAGCTGTTATCATTTAATCAGGTGCCAGAGGTCTTTGGTTAGAAAGCCCTCACTCTTTAAAAATGTGAAAATATTCATGGAGCAGTGCTTCCTGATGATATCACAAATGGCTAATTTCCCAAAAAAATAAAAACATTTGTAAGTCAATAAGAAAACCCAAAGGGCAAAGGAAATGTAAAGGAATCTATGAAGAAAAATTCATCCTCACTCATAATAAGAAAAATGAAAATGTGACACATTTTTCACTACCATACAAAGATCCAAAGGCAAAACTTGCCTTTTGGCCAGGCAAGTTCTTCTATAAAAGGCAACTTGATAATACTTCACTAAATTATAAAAGGACATATCACTTTCCAGGCAATTCTACTTCCACATGTGCAAAATGATGACGTATAGGGTCTTTCAATAATTGCACTATTTGCTAGAGCAGAATACTGCAAAAATTATCACTAGGAAACCAATGAAATTATATGACTGTACATCCATACAACTGAATATTAAAAATCACAAAAATGAAGAAGATAATGCTTTAAATTAGGTATGGAATACTACAAAAGATATATTTTTAAGTAAAACAAAGGTTGTCTCTGCAGGAAAAATACATGGTTGTGGTAACAAAAATGTGGTATGGGAAGTTGTTTTTCCAATGTATACTCTTCTGAACAATTTAGATTTTCTTTTAACCAAGTATTACCAATTCTTAGTATTTCAATTCAATGAAGTAGGAAACTATAAAGTTATTCAAGCAAAATTACATATCATTTATTTCATTAAAATAACATTTTAATAAAACTGTATTTTTTGGTAAAGTATCCATATCTATCCATCTTTCAAATGAAGACAGAAGGAAACAGGTGAGCATGGGTGGATACATATGTGCACTCCTACTAGGAGAAATGAACAGAGACCATTCCAAGCAAAGGGGTAACATGATAAAGGCACACAGAGGTCAAACTGAATTCAGGGAAAAGAAAGGAGAGATTAAGGCCACAGAGAAAAGAGACTTGTAATGCAAAAGCATTTGAATTTTATCTTTCAGCAAAGGCAAACAATGACTTTAAAAACAAACATATATGGGGATAGCATAGATAATCCTGATACATAAATTCTGACCAGACTGAGAACAAAACCAGTATTTATGCACCAAACGTGGTGACTTTCTCAGTGTTTCTCTTTAAGGAGAAACAGTATTTATTTCAAATATCGCTCTTAAGAAAATCCAGCAAAGTGAAGATGCTACTCACATTTCTATTACCAGGAAAAAATGTACAAATACTAAAGCTGGAAAAAGTGAGTTCAATCAGGAAATTTCAAGGAAAAAAAAAAACACAAAGAAAATTATAGCTCTCCAGGCTCAAACTGAAACACTAATTAGAGATAACATACATCTTAGAAGATAAACAATGTGGTGAATGTGCCTTAAGTATTATAATTTAAGGTTAGCAAAGAAACTTGAAACAGAAAATCTACTACTAAAAGGACATTTGAATTGTTTAAACAATATCGGAAAGACGTCATTGAAATATCTAAGAATGTCTTTCTGAATACTAATCCAAGACCCTTTTTCATGCTCCCATTCAGTTTCACCCTCCACCAGCAAATATCCCTCCATCACACAGATGCTTCTTAAAAAAATCAAAATTAATTTGTCTGGTAACTGACAAGATTACTGCCACTGGAAGCAAATGCAAGAGAGAAAAGAGATACTGTTACACATTAAATGGGAGACAAATTATAAAAGTGCTATTAAACAGCATAAAATTAGGTACTATGAGATCTAATATAACTTTCTTTATGAATTTCATTTTTTCCTGAAATTCATTTATAACCTTTTTTGAGGGTACTGAACATAATTTCCTGGCAAGCCATCCATGAAACAAACTATAAACGTAGGTACCTAAATGATTTAGACTCCCTACACAGAATTATTTGATAATAAATATCAACTTTTGGAAGTCTTATAACAAAAACAACCATGGGCCAAACTTAAAAAAAACTTACAGGCTGAGATAAATGAGCCAGAAACAAATAAAAAATAAATAGATTGAAAAAAAAATCAGAACATAGTAACAAAGTGCCCTAAACAAACACTGGTTATTAATTTTGCAAATTCTGTTAAATATCCCAACTAAACCATCTAGTATTCATTGTGCCTTGAATAAAATAAAAATATACTGTAGTCACTTCAAATTGCATTCAGAATCGTATTACAAGCTATTAGTCTCATCATGACATAATAGTCTCCATTTTAATCAAAAACATGATTTCCCAGCTAATTATCTAATTAGACATTTTCATTATAAAGACATTTTTAATCAAAATCAAATTAATCTTTAAAAGGCAAAATTCTGCCACTTCTAAAGATGTTCACAAGAATAGAATACAAGCTAAAAAAGTTATTTCAAGCAGGAGTATCGTAAGTTTTGAGCAAAAACTACTGAGGTTAATAACTATACAAACTATAAATATGTATTACCATTGGTCTCAAAATGCATCTAGATACATAAATTCTTCCACAGTAAATGAAAATCAGTCTCATGGTATAATCTCATAAGCACAATATTGAGAAAAGAAACCAAATATAAAAATCATACAATATAATCCCACTGATTTAAAGTTTAAGAAAGAAACAGGCAAAATTAATTCTATTTCCTAGGTGTGCATAAATAAAAGGAAGAGCTATCCAGAAATATAAGGAGATGTTTAGAATTCAGTCAGAATAGTAAATAAGAAGATGGAAGTGGAATCACTGAGAAGGGGAAGAAGTTGAGGGGCGAGGGTAAGAAGCGCTGGGCATTTTGGTACTTCCCGATCCTACTGAGGCTTACGTGAACTCTTGCTTTTAATAATTTTTTCAACTACACATTTGTATTCTATGTAATGTTCTGTATGTGTATGTTAGTTTACAATTTAAATCCAAGAAAAGGGGGAAGAAGGAAGGAAATAAAGCCACTAGTTACAGCACCAGTGGCTTCCAGAGACATTGACTGAAACTGAGGAAGCATGTCCCTAAAGTCAAATTCCAGGGCAGCCGCTTGATTTCTCAACCTCATAACTGTGGCAGAGGTGTCAGTTCCTCTAGAAGCCAGTTCTGAGGGTCATTCCTGCAAGTTCACTCTAGATACCCTTCCTTCCTCCATCCCTTCCAATGACTGGTAAGCCCTTAATCCCTTTCTATTTATCATATCTAGAGTAGTTTCTCTTATCAGCACATGAACCCTAACTAATGCACTTCATCAAGAAAGTTCAAGAAAAAAAAAAAAGGAATTTCCAATATGAAGTATTAACAGTAACAAAGCAGAAGGGCTAGACACTGACCATTAAATTAACCTGATACTTATCTCTCATTTCCAACAGATTTCTTAGCACAAGCATAAAAACTAAATATCTAACACTTTAAGGAGTTGATTTTTAGCTTTTATAACACAAGAAGGGGTGGTAAAGAAGGGAAAAGTATAGAGGCGTGGAGAGGAATGAAAACCAGAGTTTCTGTTACCTGGAGTCTCGTATTCATTTCCAAGAAATAAAAATTCTTTTTTGAGTCCACAAGGAATTCTACGGTTCCAGCAGAAGAATAATTTACTGCTTTGGCAAGGGCTACAGCTTGTTCTCCCATTGCTCTTCGAGTCTCAGAATCCAGAAAAAGGCTGCAAATAAGAAAGAGTAATTTCCTACATTTTGAACAAAAATTAAGTAATCTTTTGTGTGCATTACATAAAAATTTTCTTAAAGTTTACTTAGATATGATCATCTGTATCAACTTAAGATTTCATATTATATGCTTTATATATGCTTATAATGTATGCTTATTGTGTTATTAAGCATAACATGTTTAAATAAATCAACTTAAGATTTTTATAAAACATCTGAACTTTCCACACTACACTGCAACTTCAATCAATCTATAAAATATACAGTTACTTTAGCACAAGTAGTTGTTTCCTATGAGTAAAATTTAACATATATATTCATAATTTCTCCAAGTAAGATTGGAAGTCGTGCCCTATAGAGAAAACGTGTGTTAGGTGAGCTTCCTTCAGGCAAGCATTATAGCGCTGCGGGCCAAGACGGTGAGTTCAAGGTTAATGAATCAATAGTATGTATTAAAATAAGGTGTCTTTCAACAGAAACACATACAAAACAAGGTTATGTATTAATCGGTTGATGAAAATGTTCTGACCAGAGGCTCACAGAAACTTAATTCTGTATTTCCCCTAGGAGCAATGCTTCAGTATTTATTAATTCAGTGTTCACAGTGACTTTATAAAATATAACTACCACAGGACTTCCCTGGTGGCGCAGTGGTTAAGAATCCACCTGCCAGTGCAGGGGACATGGGTTCAAGCCCTGGTCCGGGAAGATTCCACGTGCCGCAGAGCAACAAAGCCCATGTGCCGCAAAAACTGAGCCTGCGCTCTAGAGCCCGTGAGCCGCAACTACTGAGCCCACGTGCCACAACTACTGAAGTCCTCGTGCCTAGAGCCTGTGCTCCGCAACAAGAGAAGCCACCGCAATGAGAAGCCTGTGCACTGCAGCAAAGAGTGGCCCCTGCTCGCTGCCAACTAGAGAAAGCCTGCGCACAGCAACGAAGACCCAACACAGCCAAAAATTAATTAATTTTTTAAAAAAACATAACTACCACAAATAACAAGAATCCACTGTACATCTAATAAATCCTCAAAACTTTTGTTTCACAATAAAAAAGCACCTTCCAGCAGGCAAGTAAAAGGGTTTCAATGAACCCTGAAAAGAATATTATCAAATCATTTCTGCATTTTCACATATTTTGCTTCTACGCAAAAAAGGTTCTGAGAAATAAAACAGTGACTACTTTTCTATTTGTGGATTAAAATTATTCTCAAATGTGTAAGATTTAGATGACATTTTATGAACTTTTTATTATGGAAGAATATAATGAACTTGCACATACCTGTTTCCCATATGTAACAATTATTACTACATAGCTATTCTTATTTTGTCTATGCTGCATGTCCACTTTTCTACCAGCTCCCCCCCTTTTTTTTGGCTGTGCCACGCAGCTTATGGGATCTCAGTTCCCCGACGGGACTGAACCCAGGCCACGGCAGTGAAAGTCCGGAATCCTAACCACTAGGCCATCAGGGAACTCCATTTTTTTTCTTTTTTAAAGCAAATCCCAAATTAGGTATTACTTCTTCCATAAAAAAAACTTCCGTATCTGTTTCTATAAGTACTCTTTTATAACATAATCACACTTTTAAAATTAACAAGAACTCCTTAATAGCTTTAATATCCAGTTAGTATTCAAATTTACTGGATTATCTTGTAAATATCTTTTTACAGCTAATAACTTTGAATCAGGATCCAAATAAGATTTAGCCACTGCATTTGACTGGTTTTTAAATCTTTATGATGCTTTTAACTTGTAATGCCCTCTCCTTTTTTTTTTAAGCCAAGGATCTGGTCATTTTCCTGTCTCATTCCTCTACATGCAATGTTCACAAGGTCTTTTAACATTACATTTCTATTTCTTGTAAACTGCTGATTAGATCTAGAGCCTTGAATAGATTCAGGTTTGACTGGTTGAAGGGGAGGCAAGGATACTTCACAGGTGGGAAGTGTACTTCATACTGTCTCCCCGTTGATGACATTAGGATTCATCATTGGATTCAGATGTTATGAATCTTATCTACCTATTATAAATAACAGCTCTGCATTAACCTAACAGATACAGGCATAGGTGACATTTCAACAATAATGGCTGACAAAATTAATGCAACCAAAAAGAAAAAAAAGGAAATGCAACTAAAGATTAACATCGTAACATTTGGATAATATCAAGCACAGGTGAGCAGAACTATTTTTGTCCTGTCTGGTCTTATTCTTTCCCTTGTCATAAACTCTGCTAGTGATACTCAGAGCTGCAAGCAAGCTCACCACTGCACTCAAAGCACAGAGGGAGATTCTTACTCCAGGAATTGAAAACTGCATATTCCATTTATTTTAATATTTCACAATACACAAATACATATCAAGTCACTATTAACAATCGGTTCTAGTTTTTTTTCCTACTGCTTTAAGTTTTCCTTGGATTTTTCTCTCAATTAATAGATGAGATGTTCATATGAAAAACTTACATTTCTAGAGAAAGAAAGGAAACAAATAAAAATCAAGGTTCCCAGTCTGTGAAAGATTTCTATCCCAGGTAAGACTTGAGTGGATTTCCAATAAAAAGAGAAAGTTAATTATATTGGAAGTGTTAAGACAAGAAGATAAGAAAACATAAGACTGCAAAAGTGGTGTGTCAGAGACTATTACTGTTCTACCATCATCCCCTGTCCCCTTTTTCCATTCAACTAGCTGGGCACATGGTGACTTCGGGAAAACAGACATATCCCAGACTCCCTAGGAAAGTACCTAACTTCGGATCACTGCCAAGTCAACAACGCTGGCAGGTTCTAGGACTCTTCCTAAAGACATAGAACATTCCTTTTGGTTCTCTTCTTCCATTCGTCTTACATGGGCCAAGAGATAAAGGGCTACACCCCATGTAGGCCACAAAGGGCTGTTCTTCACAGCATGGTGAAGATGGGAAGGACTCTGAAAGGTGCATGTTTTGGGGGAGGAAATCAGGGTATGAAGATGGACAAATGAAGGTTGAGATGCCCATTAGATATCAAAATGTAGGTGTTGAGTAGACTGTTGGATATTTAAATCTATAATTTGGGGGGGGATATAGGATTTGATTTTTAACAATACTCTGTGATTTTAAAAATCCACTCATATTCAGACCTAATCTTTTCAGAAATCACACGCGCACATTTTTTCAAGGCACACTGGCTATGCTGATTAAGCTACAATTGGTTACATTCCTTAATGTCTAGTTACTAAATATACCAATGAACACTCAACTGGGGATTTTTAAGAACTAAGAGGAAACCAGAATATATATAAATACCAAACTAGCGTCAAAGGAGAAATGAAGCTCCATGAAATTGCTACACCAAACACATGATAGGTGGCTTGGAGAAGTGCCCAAAGTAGTTCTGATGAATCAAGGAATCTCTAAGAACCATGTCCCAAAAGCCTTTTCATGGTAGGATAAACTCGGGAAATTCAGGATCAACTTTATGAAACTTTTGGCAACTGGAGAGCCTAGAAGGTAGGTATCCCAGAAATTCCACATGCTCAGACACACCAACAGGGTCTAGGCTACCTAGAAGACTATGGGAGTCAGAGTGGGTTATCACCCCACTTTTTCCTCTAATGAAACCCCAACTTCTTGTTCAAGTATTCTCTCACTTTCATGCATTGAAGTACTGAGAAAGATCAAGTGGCAAATTCTTAATTATAAAAATATACATTAAGACCACTTCAAACTAAAAAGCTTCTACACAGCCAAGGAAACTATCAACAAAATGAAAAGGTAACCTACTGAATAGAAGAAAATATTTGCAAATCATATGTCTGATAAGGGGTTAGTACTCAATATACATAAAGAATTCATACAACCCAATAACAGGAAAAAAATCTGATTTTAAAATGGGCAAAAGATCTAAATAGACACTTTTCCAAAGAAAACACACAGATCACCAACGCACACATGTAAATGTGCTCAACAGCACTGATCATCAGGGAAATGTACATCAAAACCACAATGAGATATCACCTCACACCTGCTAGGATGGCTATTATCAGAAAGACAAGAAATAACAAGTGTTGGCAAGGATGTGAAGAAAAGGGAACCCTTGTGCACTGTTGGTAGGAATGTAAATTGGCGCAGCCATTATGGAAGAGAGTATGGAAGTTACTTTAAAAGTTAAAAACAGAACTACCATATGATCCAGCAATTCCACTTCTGGGTATATATCCAAAGAAAACAAAAACACAAACTTGTAAAGAAACATGCACCCCCATGTCCACTGCAGCATTATTTATAATAGCCAAGACATGGAAACAACCTAAGTGTCCACTGATGCATGGATGAAGAAATGTGGTATATATATATGTATGTATATTATATATATGTATATATATATACACACACCACATACACATATGCAGTGGAATATTATTCAACCATAAAAAAGAATGAAATCTTGGCAATTCCCTGGCAGTCCAGTGGTTAGGACTCCGTGCTTTCACTGCCAAGGGTGCAGGTTCAATCCCTGGTCAGGGAACTAAGATCCTACAAGCTGCATAGCCAAAAACAAAAACCCCAAAACCAAAAACGAATGAAATCTCGCCATTTGTGACAACATGGATGGACTTTGAGGGCATTATGCTAACTGAAATAAGTCAGACAGAGAAAGACAAACACTGTATGATCTCAGTTATACGTGGAATCTTTAAAAAAAAAAAAAACAAGCTCATAGATGCAGAAATCAGATTGACGGTTGAGGGGCAGGGGGACATAAACAGTACAAACTTACAGCTATAAATAAGTCGTTGAGATGCAATGTACAGCATGGTGACTATAGATAATACTGTATTGCTTATTTGACAGTTGCTAAGAGAGTAGCTCTTAAAAGTTCTCATTACAAAAAAAAAATTCTGTTAACTATATATGGTGACGGATGTTAACTAGACTTCCTATGGTGATTTCACAATATATACAAATATTGAATCGTTATATTGTAAACCTTAAACTAATATAATATAGTTGACCCCTGAACAACACAGGTTTGAACTGCAAGGATCCATTTACACTTTTCAATACTAAATATTACAGTACTACAAGATCCAAGGTCAGTTGACTGCAGATACAGAGGAACCACATATACAGAGGGCTTACTTTAAACGTTATATGTGGATTTCCAATTGCATGGAGGGTCAGCATCCTTAACAACTGTGCTGTTCAAGAGAGAATTATGTGTCAATTATACCTCAATGAGGAGAATTTTTAATATATACACACTAATGCATTCTACTATTACTATTAAAGCAATTTTAGCTAATAAAATGGGAAAGAAATATGTGAAATATATAAAAATCAGACTACTATAAAGTTTCCCTGGGAGAAGCTCTTACCTTGGTGCTTCCTCTACCACCTTCTGATTTCTTCGCTGAATTGAGCACTCTCTTTCATTGAGCCACAAAGCATTCCCATGTTTATCACCTAAAACCTGAAAGAGCAATAATACCACTTGAAAAATTACAGAGCCATCTCCATAGCATATGTGCCCAATTAACATTTTCTCCACGCAACACCCCTTGGATTTTAATACTCCAACCTCATAAAACATATATACCTCTCAAATACAGTCTTCTTTTGGTTGACATTAGTGGAGGAAAATTTTATATTTACCACTCCAAAACTCAACTGAACACTTCTATTAAAGACTTGAGGAAAAAATTCTCATCTTACATTTCCAATACACTGGGTAAAACATGAGAATCAATTGTACCAATTTTGTGAGGGACAATGAGTATCAATAAAGGGAATATATTCTAGATTTCAAGGGCACAAAGGAGAGCCGCAAGGATTATTACAAACATCTGTTTGTTGTTAATATTATCACGTCTGTTGATCAGGAAATGCTATTTCATTTACAACCAGTATGTGGTCTGTTACTTATATATGGATATTTTTACTGTGCTTTATTTTTGTTATAAGAAACGGGTAAAAGGTCTGGGGTTAATATATAACATTATGCTTTTTCCCATTTGTAATAATGGGAAATAAGCTGGAGTTTTTAATTTTAATAAAAATTTTAATAAAAATATATCCCAAATACTGAATGGGACATACTTTAAAAAAAAAATCACTGTTTATCTGAAATTCAAATTTAACATATATCTTATTAGCTAAATCTGGAAACAGTAAAACATGCTCTTTATTAATGTTTTTGCATAGAATATTTGATCAGAAATAGATTAATCTATTTTCATGATTAAGGAGTAGATGCATACTACTGAATGCATATATTTAAGTTCACGGGGGTAAAAGCTCTTCTAGAAGCCAAAATCAAGGCACTAGCTTAAGCTCCAAACAGCTATGCCACCTCTCTGGGCAAGTCACTGTTTTCCCATGCATTATAAACAGTAGATAATGTCACCTTAATATTTTATATGGCTGCTGAAAACATCAAATCAAAAGAGATCATGGTTTAACAAGTATAATAAAACTATAAAATGAACAGTTAATAAATGACTACAAGGTTAATTTTTAGGAAATAAAACCTACCTAAACCTCAAGAATGCTTCCAAAGGAAAACATTAATGAAATGCCAGTAAGCTGGAATTTTATTTCTAAGACTCAAAGGTGACTGCATGAAGTACATCTAGAACTATTTTTAAACGTTAAATTTATTCTACCTTCTTTTTTATTCTAATTGACGTGGAAGTGAAAGTAGACTTTGTCTCCAAGAAATAAAGCCACAATAACCAAGAATTCTTAGAAACATTTTCAACTGTAAAATATCAGATTCAAATATACACAGAATCAAGTTTGTTTTTCCCTGAAGTCTGTGTAACTGTGCCACGCAGCTTGTGGGATCTTAGTTCCCAGGCCAGGGCAGTGAAAGTGCCAAGTCCTAACCACTGGACAACCAGGGAATTCCATTAATCAAATGAAGAGACAAAGTAACCAGAAAACATCATAAATAAAAAGTGCTTGTAAGGGAAGTTAATACTTAAACACATCATGAGTTTTTTAAACTTTTAATATAGCCCTTTACAGATATGCACGTACTGAATATGGAAAGATCTCCCAGATATACTGCTTACTGAAAAAGCTTTATCATAATAGACTGCTCCACATAATGGCAAGCCCTTTAACATCCATGGATCCAGCCCATAAAATGCCATCAGTGCCCTGGTTTAAACCACACAGAGCTGTGCCATTCCTATTGCCAGTACACAGTTTCAGCACAAGAAAGAAGAGAGTATGTGATAGCTCGTGTGAAAAACAATAGTTGATATACATGTATATACTTCACAGACTATGGCAGGATATTCAAAAAACAGTAACAGTGCCTGCTTCTAGGGATAGAAACCAGGGGACTTGGAGACAAGGGTGAAAGAAGGCTTACTTTTCATTGAATACCCTTTATCATGTGCACAAATTATCTAACATTAATTAATTAAAACTGAAGAAAATAAGTAAAAAACCTTCCAAGTGTAGATCAGATATGGGAAACATCTGTGTTGCCTATTTAAGTTACTGGGAGATATTTTCACCTAAGTTTAAAAATATCGGACAGGATATACGCCATGGTTAATTAAAATAAACTAAAAGCTTATGTAGAAATATAATTATTTAAAACAATTGAACAAACATTTACTGAGTATTAGTAATGTGAAGGACACTGCCTGGTTGCTCGGGAAAACAAATGAATAAGATCCAGCCTCTGTCCTCAAGGACTTCTTCGTCTATGAGGAAAGTCTGATAGCTAAAGATAAAATGGTGTAAGTGGTCTTGGAATAGCACAAGTAAGTGCTAGATGGGGAATATAGAAAAGGGGGGAAAATTAATTTTACCTCTAGGATCTTACAGGAAGGGTAGCCCAAATATCTCCCCTAAATTACAGACTTAAATATCCAACAGTCTACTCAACACCTACATTTTGATATCTAATGGGCATCTCAACCTTCATTGGTCCATCTTCATACCCTGATTTCCTCCCCCCCAAAACATTTACCTCTCACAGTCTTTCCCTTCTCAGTAAGACAGTCCCATTCTTATAATTCATCAGGCCAAAAGCCTAAAACTATCTTTGATGCCTTATTTTTTTCTTATACATCACATCTGATCTTTAGAAAATCTGGTCTACCTTCACAAAATATCCAGAATTCAATCACATCTCACCACCTCCACCACACGCTGGCCCAAGGTGCTACCCTCTCCCACAAGAATTATTACAAAACCCTCCAAAGGGATCTCTCAGCTTAAATTTCTGGGTTTCGATTGCTAAGAACCATTGAATACTGTGTGCCTCCCTTTTTCTACCTTGTTGAATAGGGGATATTCATTGCAGTGTCATATCCTTTACTCATCATTGTATTTTTGATAACTGAGTGTCACATTGTCTTTAAATACAGAGATCTTCACATCACAAAAACTGCTCTTGAGAAACCATACACAAGAAGTCTCGTCTATGCCTGAACCAAGTCTGAATATGAGATTCTGGTCTTGGAAGGAAGGTAGGTATATTCTGCCTATGGAAGGACATGAGCATTGGGGGCCGCAGAAAGGGTTGTGATAACTAGTATCCAAAAATAGCCCTGAATATAACAAACCCTGGTATGCGCACCCTTGCATAAGCACTTATGGCAATGATTCTAGGCTGGCCAAGTGACTTGCAAAATGCCACAAAAGTGCTCCTGTGCCACCTAAACTTTAAAAGACAGAATGGCTACTTCACATAGCTCTGATACTCAATATAAGAAGTCTGGATATCCTGATAGAAATTCCACATGGAGAAGTCATGTGGAAATGCCCCAAGAATGAATAAAGAGAGAAAGAGAGAGGCCCAGCTGTCCCATGTCTTGGCTGACCTCACCTTCAAGTCAATCCTCCAAGGCACTAACGTTGGATGTTCCAAACCAGTCAAGCCCCAACATGACTACTGCCCCAGTGGACAGACACCTAGTGAGGCAAAAGATGTGCCCAGCCGAACCAAATCAACCCACAGAATTATAAGAAATAGTTAAATGTTGTGCAGTTTTTTTCATTGTGGCAAAATATAGGTAAAATTTACCATTGTAAACTTTTTTTTTTTTTTTTTGCGGTACGCGGGCCTCTCACTGCTGTGGCCTCTCCTGTTGCGGAGCACAGGCTCCGGACGCGCAGGCTCAGCGGCGATGGCTCACGGGCCCAGCCGCTCCGCGGCATGTGGGATCTTCCCGGACTGGGGCATGAACCTGCGGCCCCTGCATCGGCAGGCAGACTCTCAACCACTGCGCCACCAGGGAAGCCCCACTGTAACCATTTTTAAGTGTACAACTCAGTGGCATTAAATAAGTACATTCACACTGTTGTACAACCTTAAATGTTTCAAATCACTGTATTTTGGGATGGTTAATCACTCAGCAATAGATAACCAAAACACAAAAAATAGACAAGTGGATTTAAAAAGGACACTGGATACAAGATTAATACATAAAATTCAATTGTTGCTACATATAAGCAACAATCAATAGGTAAATGAAATTTAGAAAATAACATTTATAATAGTGTCAAAACTTATCAGACATCCAGGAATAAATCTAATGAAAGATAGATAAAACCTCTACACTCCAAACTGCAAAAAAATGCTGAGAGAAATTAAAGATATAAATACATGAAGAGATATTCTAGTTCATGGCTTATAAAACTCAATATTGTTAAGATGTTAATTCTCCCCAGAATAATCTCTAGATTCAATATAATCCAAATCCCATCTGATGTGGGAAGAGGGTGGGAATGTAGGTAGAAGGTAGAGACAGATTGACAAGACAAAGTCTAAAGGTTATAGGGAAACTCAAAGAATATAAAAAAAGCCAACATTATCTGAAGAAAAACAATAAATTTAGAGCACTTACAGTACCAGATTTTTACACTTACTACAAAAGCAAAATAATTAAGACAGTGACCAAATGTCACTTAATTTACAGCAAATGTACACCACAATAAATGATGCTGGAAAAATTGGGTATGAGAATGTAAGAAAATTTACTTTGACTCCATCTCACATCAAACAAACAAAAAAATTCAAAGAGAGTAACAGGCCTAAATACCAAACCTAAAACAATAAAGCTCCTAACTTGGGTACACAAATTGGACTTAAACTGGACTTCAACAAAATTGAGAACTTCTATTCCTTGAAAGACATTATTAATAAAGTGAATAGGTAATTCACAGATGGGGGGAATATATGGGGGGTGTGTGTGTGTGTGTGTGTATGGTGAAGGACTCATAATCAAAACAGATATAGAACCCTGAACACTCAATAATTCCAAAAAATCTAATTTGAAAAAGGGGGGCAAGGGTGAGACTTGAGCAGTCGCTTCACAAGATAAGATATCCAGTTTTGGTCAATCAACGTATAAAAACATGCTCAGCATCAATATTCATCAGGGAAATGCAAATTACAAGAGATACTATTACATGTCCAACAACATGGCTAAACATTAAAAAACTGAGAACACCAAATGTTGGAAAAGATGGCTGAACTGGAAACATTCATATATCATGGGCAGGAGTATATTTTATTGATAGAACAACCACAGTATCTATCAGAACTAAACATAACCTGACCATGTAATTCAACAATCCCTCTCCTCAGTATATGCGAAAGTATGTACGTTCAGAAAAAGACATAGCAGTTTATTCATAACATCAAAAAATGGAAAGAACCTAAAGGTTCACCATCAGAAAAATGGATACATTGCAGGTTATTCAAATAATGGAACACCACAGAGCAATTTTTGAGTGAATGATAATGCACAGCCTCATGAACCTCAGATACGATGTTGTGTGAAAGAAGCCAGCACAAGCAAGTATGTACCATATGATTCCATTTATATGCAGTTTAAGAACAAACAAAAACAATCTATGGTATTAGATGTCAGAACAGCAGTTAATTTTGGTGGCTAAGGAGAAGGACTGACTGGAAGTGGTATGAAAGAATCTTTTGATATAACAGAAATGATCCATATACAGATCTGGATGGTTGCTACACAGTTATATATGTATATAAATAAATTTTTACTAAATTGTACACTTAGGTGGACTTCACTGTATATGTGATATTTCAATTTAGAATATCTAAAAACAAAAACTAACAAACAAAACAAAATCTGCTAGCCTCAGAAAGAAATACATTACGTTCAATGTTTTAAAAATATAAATGGATTATATGTTTGCAATTTGTTTTTTCCACTCTGGAAGATTTGAGGATCTACATGAAGATTTCCTAACTAGAAATAATATCTATGTAAAGTGATGATTAAACTTAGAAAACACAATGACAAAATCTAAGACTTTGTTTTATTATGCCCCATCAGAAAGTTACAAGGGCAGCAAATAACCTTTTATTTAATTTTCTGGAACTCTATCCACACAAAATTAAGAAAAAAATAATAATACTTTCATTTCAATATGATTTCTAATCTGATATTTATATTTTATCAATTTCAATTGTTACATATCAATTCATAGCCACAATGTGTAAAATTAGCACAAGGCATTTCTGACAGAAAAACAAAAATTTCGGCAGACTTTCCTTCTTCGTCTGTGTTTTATTTCAGAAAAAAAACATTTTATTTTGCTGAAAGCCACACCTCCACAACCACTTTAAAAGATGGATTACAATCTTAATCTGAGTAGAAGAAATGATTTATTCATCTCTATCCAATAGCAGAACGCCTGCCACAATAAGCCACACAGACATCTGTGAACTGAAATGATATAAGCGTCCAGGTCAGGCACTTTTCTTTTAAAGATGCCCCAAAGTGGCCCAGTATCAGAAGGGGACTGAGTGCGCCTCTAGGTAGAATATATTCTGCCTGCACGGACATCTTGTGACTATCGCTTTCTGGAGCTGGGCTTCTGTATCATTCCCCATCCAATCAACATTCTGGCACTTTGAAAAAAGGATACCAGACTCCAAAGGGAGGCGATCAACTTATGTACATTCTCTATTTCATACTTATTCGAACATACCGGAACTTTCACAATCATTCTAAATGTAATAAAGGATGTGTTTCTAATAGGAGTAAGTAATATTATTTTAAAGTTATAATAATTCAAAAGATATCTTAAAATGTACCAACCTGGACTTCTATATGACGAGGGTTATCAATAAATTTTTCTATTAGTAGCCTATCATCACCAAAACTAGAAGCAGCTTCTTGAGATGAAAATCTAAAACCATCCCTGTAAAGAAAAACAAAACAGTCAAATGAACACAAAACAAATACAGCCCTCAATATAAAAGAAAACTAATTAAAGGTTTATTTGTGCTTACTTCTGAACAAAGCAGAGAAAATTTCACTTATAATATACAAATAACTCAATTAATTTTGGTTGAACAACTCTTCTACTCACTAGCTCTGTGACTCTGGGTGAATGCTTTAATTTCCCTGATCCTAGATTTTTATAGAAACAAGAATACCAATACTTATTTCACCAACTGTTAAAAATGAGGTATTTTTAATAAACCATACAAATCATATAAAATTTCATTTCTCTGACCTTACTATACCTTAATTCCACTAATAAAAATATATAAAAATGCATATACATTTGACTCAAAAGTCAGAAGATGCACACAAAAATGTAAAGGACCTAGACGACTGCACAACTGGGGCAGCAAATATACTCAGTAAGAATACAAAAGGAGGGTCCTCAAGAAGACTCCCTGATATTTTAAATACACAACTTTAAAAGCAATGACCTCCCACACATCCATACAGATCATTACAATTTTATCTTCTTTAAAATTGTTCAAAAATAATAATTAAAAGAGAAAAGGTTCGATTTTTTAAAATAAAAATATGAATTTAATTATTGCTTTGTATATTTTATTTCCAAACTATAACTTAAACATTATCATTATTAAAATATGCTTACTAAAGTCATACACGTTGAAATTTCACTCAGTCTATTAAAAACTCAAACTTGCTTACCTAACACTAACTAGAGTATGTTATATTCCATTCACTGATATACTCGAGTATAAAATTTAATTCCTTTTATATGTAATTAATAGTTTCTTAATCTTCAAATCAAATACCTGTATTTAATGTTCAACATTAAAATTCTTTTAATCCTTTCATTTGCAAACGCTCCATCTGGCAATATTAGAAATAACTATCTCATTTGTTTGTGTGCTTGGAAAATACAACATTGCAAGTAAACACAGACTAGAAGGATAAATTTGAAAACATATTGCAAAAATTTCTATTTCTCAGCATTCTCAGAAAAAAGGTATCACGTGTTCTTAGTCCTCCATTACTCCCTTGATTTTAGGGAATGGAGTTTAGATCTCAGGAGACTACAAACCTCGAAGAAATGAAAGCACAATGAATCATTGTTTTCAATACCATATAACTAACTTTTTATTAGGTGGGATACAATGACTCACAAGGAAAAAACATAGTACTTTACAGTTTGTCTCTGCTCTAATGATTTTAAAGTTTTCATTTTGCATTTAAATCAAAAATACCAAAAATTTTAAAAATCAAAGTCACCCAAATAAATTATCAGATTTGAAAGCATTACCAACATGTTTTAGAGCTCATGGAAAACTGCATTTAGATCATTTGTAGCACTCAGTAATACATTCATTCAATAAATACTTACTACTCATGAAACTATGTGCCTGGTGCATATATATATATGTGATGGAAATACAAAATTAAAACAGAAACTGCCCTCACAACACCTAAAGTCTAGTGAGGTTACTCCAAAATGTAGACATGATCAATTTTCCATGTATGCCATAACATTTCATTTAAATTGGCATAAGGCAGCAATCCCACTACTGGCATATACCCTGAGAAAACCGTAATTCAAAAAGAGTCATGTACCACAATGTTCACTGTAGCTCTATTTACAACAGCCAGGACATGGAAGCAACCTAAGTGTCCACTGACAGATGAATGGATAAAGAAGACGTGGCACATATATATACAATGGAATATTACTCAGCCATAAAAAGAAACAAAAAAAAATACCGTATGCTAACACATATACATGGAATCTAAAAAAAAAAAAAAATGGTTCTGAAGAACCTAGGGGTAGGACAGGAATAAAGATGCAGACGTAGAGAATGGACCTGAGGACACGGGGAGGGGGAAGGGTAAACTGGGATGAAATGAGAGAGTGGCATGGACATATATACACTACCAAATGTAAAATCGATAGCTAGTGGGAAGCAGCCGCATGGCACAGGAAGATCAGCTCGGTGCTTTGTGTCCACCTAGAGGGGTGGGATGGGGGGGTGGGATAGGGAGGGTGGGACACCCAAGAGGGAGGAGATATGGGGATATATGTATATGTATAGCTGATTCACTTTGTTATACAGCAGAAACTAACAAACCATTGTAAAGCAATTATACTCCAAAAAAGATGTTAAATAAATAAATAGGGATAAGGAAAAGAAAGCCAGAGATTATTATGAAAATATCTGAGTCTACTTTCAACAACCTCCATGACTCTTACCCTAATTTATTATACAACAAACACTGTACTTTTTAAAATCTTTCAGATGTTCTAAAGATTCTAAGATAAGTATAGATGTTACTTCCCTGAAGATGTTACAAGAGGGACACACTCCTTAAGATAAAAGAATAAAGCAAAATTATAAAGCAGAAACTAACACGCCATTGTAAAGCAATTATACTCCAATAACGACGTTAAAAAAAAAAAAAGAATAAAGCAATTAATGGCTACTAAGTTTTCCATCTGAAGAATGTTAAAATTTTTGTGGATTATGCACAAAAATGTCTTCCTTGAGGGAGGAAGGAGTAAATGCAGTGCAGCACGATATTAACAGTTGGTGACACCAGAAGACAAATATATGGGTGTTTTCTGGACTGTTCTCTCAATTTTTCCAAAGTTTTGATTTTTCCAAATTAACAGAGGATACAGAGCAAATTTTTAAAATGAGGGTCTTGTATCATTATATCAAATAATGTTATACCTTTGTTAACTTCAACAAAGTTTTAGAGATGGCTTATTTATCAAGTTGAAAAGAGTAATTTTAGGTAGAAAATTGTTTATGTATGTATTTTTACTAATTATATGAAAATATTTTGAAACAATGTGACATTTACTGACCAAGAAAGGGTTAACTTATTTACCAAAGATGCCCAATATATGGATACAGCAATTTCCAAAATCACTGAATTCTAAATTAAAATCCATTGGTTAAAAGCAGCACAGTAAATCTCATTGCCAAGAAACTGAACAGTAATCCTACCATAAAAGAATATGTTACTAAGAGTAGCCCTGGAGAAATGACTGATAACAAATATGAGATCCTAAGAACAATAATGAAAAATAAGTGCTAAGGCTTTCAGTGGAATGGCTATATAAGTGCCATATAAAAGGGGAAAACACTGGTAAAAAAACATTAAGAGTTCACAAAATACACATCTCTTATAAAACCATTAAGTTGTGTTTAACATCTTTATTACCTCATTCTTTACTACCAATAGACTGTAGCAGATTGTCTTTTCCAAACATGGCCACAACAGCATCTCCCATTCCATATGCTCTTCTAAGAAACTTGCCACTCCTTCACAAGGAAGTGAAGTCTAATGCCCCTCCCCTTGAATTCAGGTAGAATTTGTGCTCACTTGTAATCAACAAAATATGGTGAAGGCAAGCTGTGGGCTTATGAGACTGGATCATAAAAAGTGATACAGCTTCCACTTGCATTTGAAACAAATACTCTTGGACCCCTGGGTCACTGTGTAAGAAGTCTAAAGTCACCATCCCGTGAGGAAGCCCAACCAAACCATGGAGACGTCCACTAACTCACAGGGGTTACAAATAAAGCACAAGAGATAGCTTCAACACCTGAACTTCAAAAGTCAAATAAGACGAATTATGTGGTAAAAATGGGGCTAAGTATGCCTCCTACCCTTATGCCTGCTTCAACCCACACACAACAACTAGCCAGCCCAACTTCAAACATTTCACATAGTTAACCAATGCTCTGCAAGTCTCCACTATCAAAAGGAACCACGCCAGGCAAAGAGTTCCAGAGAGAGGCTAAGAAGCAGACCATTCTTCAATTAAGCATCTCAGTTCTGAAGATAAACGCCCTCACTCTGACCTTAACTTCTTTGGCATTTCCTAAGAAATTTTCAAGTAAATTAGTGTTGCAGCATATCCATTTAATTCTTATAAATCAACACTAAGGCCAAAGAGAGAATAAGAGCAAAAAAATAAGGTAACTTAAACAGGGCCTGCAAGTCATCCTCAAGTACTCAAACTCTATATCCAATCACTCAGAAAATCCTGTTGCCTTTACTTTCAGAATTAAACTCTTTCTTACCACTTCCACCATTACACTGGTGAAAGCCACCATCACCATTATTTTGCGTGGATTATTTCAACCCAACGGGTTTCCCTGATTCCAGAGTTCATGATTCTGCCCCCTGTTAAGTCTACTGCCAAGAGAGCAACCAGTGATCCTTTTAAAACTCAAGTCGCAAAATCTTGACAACTGGTAAATCTGGATGATACATATATAGAAGTTCATTGTATTCTTCTACATCTTTGCACGTTTGAAAATTTTTATAATTCAAAACATGTAAATAATGTTAGGAGTTTGTTGAAGTTCCATGATTGTGACTTCCCTACGCAAACCTTCCAGTAGCCCCCCATCTCACTAAGAATGGCCTACAAGGTCCTACACAATCGGCTCCCCATTTCCTTCTACTCCTCCCCCTGCCCCCACCAGCTGGCCAGCGCTGGATCTCTCCAGACACGCTACTGCGTCACAGCCTCCACACTTGCTCTTCCCTTGCCTGGATCCTAATCCCCACACTCTTCCTCCTCACTCAAATGTGCCTTCTCAGCGAGGACAGCCCTGACAATCCTGCTTAGAATGGGAATTCCCTCCAACACTCCCCATGTCTCTTCCTTTCTTCCTTTACTTTTCTTATATTGTTTATCACCTTCCACAACAGGATATGATTTACTTCGATCTTGTTCATTGTTTGTCTCTTCCTACCAGAATGGGTTTCTGAACCTTGTTTATGTCGTGGATGCCTTTGGCAGTATCATGCAGTATAGGACCCTCTTGTCGAAATAAGGTTCAAAGTGATTTAAAATGTAGAAAAGAATATGCATAGGATTGCAAAAGAAACAAATTATACTGAAATATAGGTATCAAAATATTTTTTAAAAACAAATTTGGGATATCATGTACTTGGTTCTTTATTCGTTAATAAGCTCCAACAACAAGTCTCACAATCACTGTAACTTAGAGATACCTGCAACAATGTAATGTGATAATATAAGGGATCTCTTAAAGGGTGAAAAGTCCCACAGATACTACTACTATTGTAGCTTGTCTATACTGGAGGAAACACTAAATTCCAGTTAGAGGCTAGTGAAAGAAATATGTACTTTTTTTCCTTATCCAGGCGCACAAACGTCCCTGAACTTTACGGGTCTGTGAATTCAAAGGTTAAGAACTCCTGATCCAGTTATCTACTGGATATAGAGGAATAGAGAAAGAGAACTGCATAGAGGAGTGGATTATTTTGTCTGTTTCTGTTCATCGCTGTATTCCTGGAACCTTACTAAAACACTGCCTGTCACACAGGAGGCTCTCCGTATCAAATATCTCAATAACAAATATCACCAATCCATGCAATGAGTTTATTTATGCTGGGTAAGTGTAAAATGGGAGAGGAGAATCTGACGTTACCTCAGTCAGTATCTGGTATCAGTGCCACACTGAACATGAGACTGGGGCTGAAAGGTCTGTATTGGGCACATATTATCACCTCACCTCTAACACACAACCAAAGAAACAATGATGTCCTGAGACAACTGTCTTCTAGAGTTAAAACTATCTGTACAAGTCTGCAGTGTGGTGTCTTCCCCTCAGATTTTAAAGGGTAATATATTGCCTCTAGGAGATTTTTACCTTGCATGTTCACTTTAGAACCTAATTTCTGAAATAGATTTGTATTGGATGACTTTCACATCAACTACTCCAGATTTCTCTCTTTCAGAGATTTCAGGGAATAGGAAGAAAGGGAAAAGAAAGGGAGAAAACAGAACTAACCATTTGGAAGATCAAATTACTTTTGGGTAGAGAAAGGGCAGGAAAGGCAACATTAACGATAATAATTCAGTGATTTTTTAAATTCTCCTCCTTCAAAAAATGACATAAATCTCTCTTGCTGCCAAGCCTTGAAGTATGTAATACAAATCTGAATAGAGTCCCTTGAAACCTGCTTGTACTAGGCAGTTGTTCAAAAAAACTATTTTCTAATCCCCATGATGTTATCAATACATTAGGTTTTAAAATTTTTGTTTTAAAAGTTTCTTTTGATTTCTGAAACTACTACTAAGAAAGTGTTCTAAATTCATAAGAGTGCACTGCATATAAAGGACATACAATAATTTCAAATTCAAAAGGAAATATATTTCACACTATAAAGTTATAATAGTAGTTCACTGTTTTTATAGACAAGCAAAGGGAAGCAAATGCATACTAATAAACAGATAAAATTATGACTGCTTTCAAATATATATGGTTCAAATCTTTGATCACATTCAGAATTACATAGCCAAACGTTAGTAATTTTTGCCTAGAAGACAAAATCATGACTATAATTTTTAAAAATACACTGTAAAAAAAAAGATAATCCTGTATTAATGTTTAAGAAAGTAAAAACCTTTCGATAATAGGATAATCATCATCAAAATATAAATAAGAAACTTTTCTGCATAATTTCAATTTTTCCCATCTAGAAGAGTAAAAATTAGATGATTATTATAACTATTCCATTATGCTTTTGGTATCTGTTTACTTGTCAGTTTAATAAAACTCTAGTAACTGCAATTTTCATCAAAAGTATATTTTGGACAGAATCTCACCTGGTCTCTTCATCATCCCAAGCGATTCGCATGCCTTTCCCACCACCACCTGCTGAGGCCTTGATCATAACAGGGTAGCCTAACAGCAGGGAAGAATTAGACAGAAGTTCAGACTTTGATCATTTGGATGCATGAACATGACAACTGACCACATGTTCGATAACACAGAAGACAATAACTAATTCATTTAAAAGTTCCTTTCTTTAGAGTCAGGAAAATAATATCAGTGTAATGATCTTACATATATTTTTTAAATGAGTGTGATCATTTTAAAAGAAAAAGACTATTTGTATCAATAAATAAAACATTTTCCCCAATAATGAAATAAAAAGCTAAGAAAACATAATTTGAAAGTGGATTCCAAAAATGGAAATAGATACAGTATTAATTAACCAAGGATATAAGAAACAACTTTTATAGCATTAAGGAAACACACACGCATTCTTTTGATTCCCCAAAACTGCTGTTTGCATACATAACAAATTAAATTCCCTTTTTTTTCAAAAGTAATGGTTCACAGGTATTTGAGGTATTTTCATCTGAAAAATCACAGGGAACCCCTGCAGCTTTTATCTGCAAGAACTGACATGATGGCTTTGGGAAAAATCAAGCCATGGCTGGTATATTATGCCTGGAGCAGAAGATGCAGAGCTCGCTGATATCAGTAGAGAAGCTACGGCACTCAGTCAACAGGCAATGAAATATCTAGACTTCGGGAATATTATGAAAATACAAAGTCAGGCCCAAAACAAAGGACATTTCCAGCCAAAGTTTTATAAGAGAAAATTAATAAAATTGTTGTTGGTAAAGAGGATTGCGTATTTAGAGTAGTTATTATAAAGTAAAATTTCTGACAGCATGAGTCATCTACAATGATTTATCAAGAAAAGCTGTGAAGTCTCTTTGTTTAGAGGTTCTCCGACAATAAGGTGGAGATATTCATGTCTGAGACCACTTGTTTATGATCTTTTCTGAAGAAAGAAGAGGTCAGTGAGCCCTTAAAAGACTCTTCCTGACCTGTGATGCTCTAATAGCACTACACTCTAGCTATAGGATCTTCACGAAAAGGGAAGACAGGGCCAAATGTCACAGACCTTTGACCCCTAAACCACAAAACATCACTTAACTTCAACTTAGCTAAAATAGCACTTGCTTCCTAAGTGATTCATAAGTAATTAAATTTTTAAAATTCTGATGTTGGTTACGTTTATGTGAGATAGATTTATGTGGGACAGCATTTTAAAAGCAGTAAATACTAAGTGCAGTAAGAACAAGAAAGATGAACATAGTATTTTCACACTGGGAGCCTTATAATCTAGGAAGAAAGAGGGGAAGTACCCAAATAATTCTCTCAATGGGAATTCAGAGAAGAATCACAGGAAGGTAAGAGAAAAGGGATTAAGAAAAGCATATTATAGATAGGGCCATTTATATGAGGCTATGAAGGACGAGCAGGACATGAACGTGTTAGGCAGGAACAGCAGAAATGGAGGCGGGGTAAGCACAGGACAGGTTTAAGAAAGGACTGAAACAATTTGAAGCACACAGAGCATCTGTAGGATGGCAGAGGAAAAGAGAACTCAAAACATAAACTGGGAGCACATTACGCTACACAGTCTTGCATGCTACAGATCCTGCTTGAGAGTAATAAGAACGGTGTCTGTCTTGCTCAGTGCTGCAGCCTCACAATGAGTACCACATAAAGGAATTAGACTGAGATCAGTAAAGAAGAATTAGCTTGTTTTTGAGCAGTGAAGAAACAATATCCAAAAATTAGAAACCAGCATGCCTGAGAAATCCTTTTAAAAACAACTTAAGGTCTTTTTTATCCCCAAAAAACATGTCATCAATTCACCATCAAAAACTATTTATCCATGTGAACAGGAAACCACGAGAGGTATGATATCCACATCCCATATCTCTACTATTTTCAGTTCCCGCTGAGGATTAGGAAATTTGCAGTTATTCTGATTCCAGTATTAATCTCATCTTAGTCATTTATTCATCTATGGACCCTGGACTATATAGGGATTTGTAAGGTTCAAAATAAGATTGGGAAATTGTCCTTGGTAACAAGGAACTAGATGGCAAAACAAAACACATAAAATAATTTGTCAACAAGAAACTATTGTATGTTCAGAAAAGGTGAGAAATTGTCAGGCAACAGGCCGATATATAATAAGACAATTGCAATATGGTCTCTCCAAAGGAGGCAATGCAGTGTTAGACCTGTGAATACATATAACCCAGAAGAGAAGACTCCCTGACAAAAATTTAACAAGCCAAATATTAAACAACTGGTAGAGAGGGAGAAACTGGCAGAAGTTAGGGACATTACAGTCACAAACTTAATATAATTTTTGAGCTATAATTGAAAATAATATAATGGTAAGGTATTCTACTCAATTTCTTATGCCAAGTAAGTCATTAAATTTCAGACAGTACATATTTTTATGCTGTCACCATGCTATGGAGAAATGAGATCTAGCTATTTGGAAAGCAGGGAAAAGAATATTCCACACAGATGATATTAAATAATATCAAAAAGCCCAGTCCGTCATCCCTTCTTTCTTATTGTGCCTGTGGCTCTAATTAGGGTAAGCCATGGGGTGCCAGGAACTGGACGAAAAAGGAAAAAAAAAAAAAGATTCAGTCAAAAGTTGACAATCCCGGAAAAAATCAGAAATGATCAAGTTGATGGCTATTGCTTCCTCTCTTTTCCCAGCCTGGGTATGAAATATCCACTAATGTTCTCTCACATTTTTTTTTTTAATCCACTGGAGTACTTACTCCTCTGTTCAACTTTTGTCTAGAACACATTTCTTTAATTTTATATTCTTCAGTTGACATATGTTTGAAACAGAACAACCTTCCTTATCATAACAAAACAAAATTCTCCAAGGTTTTTAAAAGGAGACGAATCTCCTGGTATGATAAGATGGCTTAAAAAACAAAAAAAAACCAAAAAACCCTCAGGTCCTAGTGCTGTTCACAGATATTTCCTCACCTTTACCATCCTCTCATTGAACGCCTACTCCCCACTACCTGACCTCCCCTCCCAGACCCAGAGATACATGCCCCACTCTTTCTAACACCCCAATTCCAACATGCACAAAGTCTCCATTCCTTATTTCCCTTCTGCATGATGCTTCCAAAAAGATATCTACTAAGTACTATGTGAGAAAAATGTTCAATTTTTTTTTTTTTTTTTTTTTTTTTTAAACAGAAACTTAGGGCTTCCCTGGTGGTGCAGTGGTTGGGAGTCCGCCTGCTGATGCAGGGGACATGGGTTCGTGCCCCGGTCCGGGAGGATCCCGCATGCCGAGAAGCGGCTGGGCCTGTGAGCCATGGCCGCTGGGCCTGCGTGTCCGGAGCCTGTGCTCCGCAATGGGAGAGGCCACAGCGGTGAGAGGCCCGCGTACCACAAAAAAAAACAAAAACAAAAACAGAAACTTAGTACCAAAGTACTAAAAGGTTTCTATTCCTACTTTTCTGTACTCAACCTTCAAGGAAGGGCAGGTTTAACTGCAGGACAAGATAACTTCTCTGGTTTCCTTTCCTCCCAGCAATCAGTATGTCTTACTTTCTACCATAAGCAGCAATCCTCTTTCTAACTCTACCATCAAATTCTCATTCATCAACTCAAAAATATTCACTGAATAAATACTTTGTGCCAAACACAGATTTGGCTCCAGGGGATACAAAGATGAACAATTCAGAAAATTATCTGCTCTTGTGGCACTTACTATATTTGGTATCTAGTAGAGAGCTATATGTAAATATACATGCACCTAGGTGTTTGTGTGTGTGTGAAACACATTAAGTGGTGATAGTTGCTACAATAAAAACAACAGAGGGATGTGATTCAGAATGATTAATGTTACTTTTCCCTGAAACGGCTTCTCTGAGAAAACTGATATTTAAACTGAGACTTAAATTGACAAGCTAGAGCAAGTCCTCTGAAAAATCAATGATGGCAGAATATTCCTGACAGAAGGAACAAGTTGGAAAGGTTATATAGGAGAGGACATTGACCTAATGTAGTCCTAATTTTTTAAGATCACTTTGGCTGCTCTGCAAGGTATGAATTGAAAAAGGGCGAATAGGGCTTCCCTGGTGGCGCAGTGGTTGAGAGTCCGCCTGCCTACGCAGGGGACGCGGGTTTGTGCCCTGGTCTGGGAGGATCCCGCATGCCGCGGAGCGGCTGGGCCCGTGGGCCATGGCCGCTGGGCCTGCGCGTCCAGAGCCTGTGCTCCGCGGCGGGAGAGGCCGCAGCGGTGAGAGGCCCGCGTACTGCAAAAAAAAAAAAAAAAAGAAAGAAAGAAAGAAAAAGGGCGAAGATGCGAGAAAGGAGACTGATAAGGAAGCTTTGTGGTGGTCCAGCAGAGAGCGAGCTGTAACCTGGACTTGGCTGTAGATACAGAGAAAGAGAGAGAAAGATAGAGACTTGAAGGTTGTTTCAGAGGTAGAGTCAGCATGACGTGTTGATAGTTAGGATATGGATGACAGGGGAATAAAGGAAGCCTCTAGGAGCTTAGGTGCTTTCCCATTTAGTGACAGTTATGGATTCCAAGCCTAAAGAAACAATTTTTCTTGACCAACTAACAGCACCATGTTGAGCTATACAAGACACACACTACATAACCCCCCCCCCACCCAACCCCCTTCAAGCAAAACCTGCTCCTATACAGGGTGGCATAAACTGATAACTTAAAGGCTGATGAAATGACATCTTAATGATATAAAAATCATGAGTCATATAATAATCTTAGGTAGTTTTTTCACCTACAGTTTCCTGAATAAAAATTTCATAGACTATAATGACTGATGGAGAAGGAAAAGTAAAAAGAAGGAAAAAGTGAAATATTTCTTGGGAAATGTCCTAATTCCTAATTTGGTGGCACTAACCAGAAATCTCTCAAGGATCAAAAAGAAGTTGTGATTTTTTTTTTTTTGGTCTTCTTTTAAAAACAATTAGGGGACTTCCCTGGTGGCACAGTGGTTAAGAATCCGCCTGCCAGTGCAGGGGACACGGGTTTGAGACCTGGTCCGGGAGGATCCTACATGCCACGGAGCAAC